GTACGGATCTGGGCTCATCACAAGTGTCCACGTTCTGTCCCACTCCATTTCCTGGCCTGGTAGTGCCTTCCAAATGTTCGTCCACCATTTCCAAATTCTGGCTGAGGCCGGGCAGTCCCACCAAAGATGGATTGTCGATTCAAAAGCCCATTCGCATCTCAAACACTTCAAGTCCACTTCCATTCGCCTTTCTACTAGCCACACCGCTGAGGGCGTGGCCAGCATTGAGAGTAGCCACAAGATAGAGGCCTGGCGTTGACACGGAATCAGCTTAAGCTGTTCCCAGCAGTTTTCCAGGGCTTTTCCAATCTCATTTGGGTCCCAGTTCAACAGTACCTGCCATCTAGTACGGGCCACAGTCAGTGGATCCTTCAATGGAATAATTGCTTTATATCCAATTTCCTGTGTGTAATCCATTAAACGCACATTACTGCCTTCTTTGCCCATGGCGCGCCATTCCCACATGCAAGGGTCAAGTTTCAGGGACTCAATGGGCGTACCTTCCAAGAGTAGCATGCAGGATTGCTCTCCTTCTGGTGAGGTTGACTCTGTCACTCGAACCTGCGAGAAGATAGAGCCCACTGTCGGGTGTTCATCATCTTCCAATTTCTCCCAGCCTTGAAAAACTCTGTTTCCATCAGGTCCGTATTCCATTAGCTTCCACAACAGACAAACCATGTGCCTGGGGGTTCCACAGCAGCTGGGTCTAATTTTTCCTTCCAGTGTTGGGGGATGGCTGTTATCAGCATAGCAAAAAAAAGGGTTACCCTCCTTCCTCGCGAGGTTTTTTTTTGTTTTTTTGTTTTTGAGAGAGAGAGATTGGATTGCAAAACTGGAGAAATGGGGCCGGGGTCCCCACAATTCAACCCTGGAAGTAACCTCTGGCAGCATTAGCCAGTTTCGCTTTTGACGGGACCAATGGGACCCGAGAAACTTCTGAAATGAAATACGAAAATGTCCTGGCTGTTCGCCTGTGTCTGCTAATGTAGCAAAAGGGTGGGAAAAGCCTGGTACATGAGTTTTTTTTTTCGCAGGGCAAGACCGCGCACAACCTACGGGCTTTCCTCGCCAAGGGCATACGACATACGAAAACCAGAAATTTGAAGCAACGAGTGCATCTTTCCCACAAAGGAGGGCGAAACCAAAAAAGAAGCGAGTATCCAGCAGCCTAACTCAGGGTGTAATCACACTAGCTGTATCTCAAATGTATCTGACGGCATTCACGGCCATACCTGCATGTATCTGGCCGAAATTCCGTCCAAAAATACGTAAATAAGTCGTAGTGTGCGTATGAGTATGCCCTCGCAAATGGCTTTTTTTTTTTTTTTTGTCAAATGGCATTTTTAAGAGGTCGTCGGTTCAATCCAATCCCCATTGGCCTCATGTACCCCTCCCTCCTGGGCATGCTTGGCGCCCGCCACCTGGCGATAGACCACTGGATCCCCCGATCGGCGTTGAGCAGAAACTGCTGATGTTCGTAGGGGGGAGGGGACCACCACCTGAGGGGAGGCACAGGGAATGGTCCTGTTGGCATATGAAATGAAAAGAAAAGAAAAGAAAAAGAAAAAAAAGAAGCGAGTGCATCTTCCCACAAACGAGACTCGGCCGCTGTAGTCTTTTTGTCTTTTTCACTCACACATTCACATTTGTTGAGTGGTTTTGTTCGCTTTCATTTTCATTCATTCACAGACACATTCACATTTGCTGAGTAGTGAGTACTGAGGCGAGGCCTTTTGCCTCGTCGCCCGGGCCCTGGACGCCAACCATCGCGGTCGTCCTCGACTCCTTGCGAACCATCTCCGGCGTCTGCCTCTTCGCAAGTCGTCTTCACACCCGTCGTATTCAATACGATTCATGAATGAAGGAGGTAGGTAGGGGCAGAGGGAGAGACTGCTTTTTATTTATTTTCTCGCCCGCCTCGTCGAGTGCTCACAATTACAACGGGTTCAAGGAAAACACCTCGCACGCGCAAGAAGAGAGAGAGAGAGAGAGAGAGAGAGAGAGAGAGAGAGAGAGAGAGAGAGAGAGAGAGAGAGAGAGAGAGAGAGAGAGAGAGAGGTCGGGGTAATTCTTGGTCGTTAATCAATTACAGTAATTAATTAATGACGATGTAAGTAATGAGGCGGCGTCACTCTCTCAATCCGGAAAAAAAACAAAAAAAACAAAAAAAGAAACAAAGGAAGCATTTCGTGATGAACTGTGGCCATTCGTGCAGCCCACGATCCGATCGTGATAGCTTCTGCGAGGAGCCTGCCTGCCATTGATATGAAAGAGGATATAGTATCTACATCATGTCGTATAGAAGCGATTGTCCCTTTTTTTTTTTTTTTTAATTTTTAAATTTTAATCTTGTGTGAAAGAACGAACTTCAAGGTTGTTTCTCGTCCGTGTTTTGGGCTGTTTGAAAAAAACATTCAGAGTCCGAGGAGGAGGAGGAGGAGGAGGAGCTGAAACGCCTCTGTTCACTTCACACCGGGAGTGTGAAAAGTAATACTGCAAAAAAAAAAAAAAAAAAAAAAAAAAAGAAAGTAATACTGTAATACAGTAATAGAAGAAACATTATGACCCATGATGATTACTCTTGCAAGTTTCTGTGTGTGTGTGTGTGTGTGTGTGTGTGTGTGTGTGTGTGTGTGTGTGTGTGTGTGTTTTCAACTTGGTGAATCGGTTTGGGTCATAAGTACCCATCCATCACGCAGGTCAGTGTCGGTCGGTGTGTGATAATTACCTACTGTAGTAGTATCAACCTCCCGCCGTTTTCTGGCCGAATCGAGAGTGTGCGCACGCAGGATAGCGCCTGCATCGCTGTTCCCCGATGCGGGTGGGAAAGGAATCGAAGCAGCATTTTAACCTATATCGGATAATATTATCCTTCCTTTACAAAGCGTTTTTCTGGTATGTTGGATTTTTGTTTTCTAATCTGGATTCGAACTCAGGTGTGCATTTCAAGAGTTCATGGGTGTACCGCCAACTGAGCCCTGCCCTGTGTTCGAGCGAGCTTCGGTGAGCGAACGGTCTATCCCTGGCACACTGGCGGCCGAGATCAGAGTGACAAATTATTACTGAAGAGTAAGTAATTACCTATTATCACCGATTCACCTAGCTCCTTTTTTTTTTGGTCTTCTTCTTGTCTATGATTCACGCGCCCGTTAGCTAAAATTCAGCTATCATCACGGATCAATTACCCATCAGCACGGATCAATTACCCATCATCACGGGTCAAATCAATAGACTCTCTACCTAAATGATTGGGAATCCTTGTTAAGATAGCAGACCAGTGTCACACTGGAAGGATCGGTGGAGCAAAACTTTTTTCATCACTCTAGAACATTCGTTGCGACATGTTTGCGAAGACCCCATAGCCGTATCATCATCATTCTATCATCATCATCATCATCATCATCATCATCATCATCATCATCCGTGAAGAGGCCTAAGTCCTGAGGTAAGATTTGTTTCGCACTGCGCAGGCGAGAAAAAAACAATGATGTCACGGAAAAATGATGTCACGAAAATCATGTCGCAAATACAGTAAGGTTTTATCACCCCCCCCCCCCCCCCCCCCCCCCCCCCCCCACACCCCCCCCCACCATCTCTCTCTCTCTCTCTCTCTCTCACACACACACACACACACACACAACACACACACATACACATATATATATCTATACACACACACACCCCCCCCCCCCCCCCCCACACACACACACACACACACACACACACACACACTGTTTCTCTCTCTCTCCACACGCGCAGACACACACACACACAGGCACGCACTACCTTCAAGGAGAATATCATAATGATGATGTGTCATTGGCAGAGTGCGGTTGCACATAGCTGCATTTTCATCAATCAGTCGTATGTATGCGATCCTTATGTTGTCGTTTGTCGCTTTGCCGGCCAGTTGATTTGACTTAACCTAGACTTTTCTGTTGCTGCTCATGCTGTTGTCGTTGTTGTTGTTCAGCATATGTACGGTGCTTGACAGACTGTGAGAAGTGTGCTGTAGCAGCAGATGGGTGCGTGCCAATGCGTAGGCACTTCCGATCGGCCACATGAGCGTCGGGATCCTAGCAGCAGCTGCAGCAGAGCAAAGGTGAGACCGGAAAGCAAAAAGGAAAATGCGGAAGAAAAATGGTTGGTTTTTTTTTTTTTTTTTTTTTTTTTTTTTTTTTTGTTGAAATGTGGTCCGATGGACCACGGATCAGATATTAAACTGATCAGAACAGATACAGTGCACTTGATCTTAGCCAAAAGGCGGAGAAAGGTATGAGGAAAAGGTTCTCAGTCCGTCTTCCCATTCTTTCACCTTGTCCTTTTTTTTAAACAAAATTAATGGTTGCATCTGCATCTGCCCACAGGATGTGGCGAAATACAATCATTCTTCCTATTTGACTATTTAGTTAGCAAATGAATGAATGATCCCACTTTCTGTGGGACGATGCACTCCTTTCGTCGTTTTTGGTTTGGTGTGCCGTGGGCCTCGGGGGCCAAGTCCCACTAGCAGCGTTGAGCTACCTCAACGCCTGAATCTGGACGTGTTTGTGGAGACGTGCAGCTCAGGAAACTCAACACCATTTCTGCACATCTCCGCAAAAGCGTCCAGATTCAGGCGTTGAGGTAGCTCAACGCTGCTACCGGTAGTGGGACTTGGTCCCCGAGGCCCTTTTCCTCGTTAGTGCGCCGCCGCTCTAGATTCCTTGCTATACGGACGAAGCTCGCCCCACCACTCTCCCAACGCCAACATTTTGAATGCACAAGGTCCAACAGCAGGTCCAGATGCATTCAAAAAAAATGTTGCCATTTTTTTTGCCGCCGAGTGGTGCGACGACGCCCCGGGTGTGGCAATCTTGTATTTATGATATTGTACCATTTCTGGATTTATATGCTTGTCATCCTTACTTGCGCACAGGGGCCACTTGCTAATTACCCTTCTCTCTCTCTCTCTCTCTCTCTCTCTCTCTCTCTCTCTCTCTCTCTCTGTGTATCGTTCCAATTTTATTTTAACGGATGTCCCGAAGGACTATTTATGTTATTGTATGTTTGGACCGTCTCCGTTTTTTTTTTCTTTTCTTTTTCCTCCCCTTCATAGTTCTGTCACTCGTGTATGCTACACTTTTTTTTTCTTTTTCTTTTTCTTTTCCTGTTCCGTTTTGCTTACCTCGGCCCTGTATTTCCATACATAGTAAATACTGGGACAATTACCCACGCTGGGTAATGGTGATGGTATTCTGATCAGTACTGGGGGGTCCTCAGCCCCCCTCCCTGCACGCACGGATTCGAACCGGCGCCCTGGCCACGAGAGCCAGGCGAGATCCCACTGGCAAAGAGGATTGTAGTAAGTGTCTGAATGTGGACGTGTTTGTGGACAGGTGCGAAAATTTGTGATTGATCTACTTTTCTGCATGTGTGTGTGGTTGATCTAGTTTTCTGCATGTGTGTGTGGAACACGTCCAGATTCAGACACTTATTCCAATCCTCTTTGCCAGTGGGATCTGGGCCTTAACCACTACAGCTATGACACGGTGGGTAGTACTTGTTTTTCTTGCTGAGGGACTCCAGGGGCCTGGTCCCATTAGCAAAGAGGATTGGATTTAATTCCTGAATCTGGACATGTTTGCGGAAAGATGTGGAAAATTGAGATGGATCAGCTTTTCTGCATCTGTGCGCCAAACACGTCCAGATTCCTGAATTAAATCTAATCCTCTTTGCTAATGGGATCAGGCGCCAGGTCTCTACTTTGTTGATGAAGTGCAGCCGTAGCGGACATGTTTTGTTGTTAAAAAGAAAAAAGAAAAAAGAAAAAAGAAAAAAGAAAAAAGAAAGAAGAAAAACGACAAAGACAAAAAAAAAGAAAAAAGAAAAAAAAAGACAAGAAAAAAGAAAAAAATAGTACATACACTATACTTTCTGCAGAGTTGTATGTCTGATTGCCGGCAGCTTGTCCTACCTGCTATGAACGAGTTGATTGGTTCGCAAAGGGAGTAGAAAGGGAAGGGAGTGTATTATTTGCTATGACCTCCAAAATTTACCCCTTTCTCAAGAACGAAGTCTAGATTCTGACTCATCCTGGGAACGTTTGTTTGTGATGAATCGTTCAATATCCGACGAGCCCCCCTGTTCCTTGCCACCATTCTTTTTCTCCCTTTGTGCCTACGGTTCATCCCGCAGTTCACTATGATAATGTATGTATGTATATGTGTATGTACATGTGCCTATAGATCGCTATAATCCATCTATATATATGTATATATTGGTACTATATATATACATTGATTTTGGTTAAGGTAGATTATCATTTACAGTGTAATCAGTGAGGGGATTCTGCAGACTGTTGAGGGTTCAGCCTCCTGATGAGTCGGTGAAACTCCGACGAAACAGTTTGTCACAGCCCCTCGTTTGTGGTCCTCTTCTCTCTCTCTGCCTACGGTTTACCGGGCAGTTCTGTTTGTGACGATATATCATGTTCCATCAACACTGGCTCAAGGATGGACTTGTTATATTCGTGCTCGCCAGCGTCGGCAGCCTACACATGTGACGAGACTTACACAATGGTTTGCTTCGTTGGTCCATGCATCATCCTCTTCCACCCTCTCCTCCCCTTGCTACCCCTTCTCCCCCTCCCCCTCCTCCCCCTTCCTCTGTTCCATCTGCTCGTCCTTCTCCTCCCTCTCCCCCTTCCCCTCCT